TTTCTGATTGGTAGCCGAGTTTCATTCGGATTGGTTCGGAAATAGAGCAGACCGAGGTTGACAAAGTTAGTCACCTACGCTTCGGCCGGGTCCGCAAAATCGCCCGTAAACGGGGACCAAATTTTCGCCTCGCGGGAAAGCCCGATTGGCATTGCTAGCTAACGTCCCGATGCCCGATCAACACTGTGTTGCTCCACAACAATAAACAATGTAAAACTAGCGCTGGGCCTAGAAGAACGGAAGTAGAAAGCTACGAGCGGACATGCGCAGACCGCGTTTTCGTCTCTCTCCCGGTTCGGTGTTTTCCGCGTGGAAAAAAAAGTATGAAATTTGCAACCAAGAGCGGTCCAGCGGAGGAAGGAGGAAAGTTGCGGGGAAAGCTAGATGTAGCGGAGTTTCCGCTATTTAGCGGGAAAGTGGCAGCTATGAATCTACTACACCCATACTACGCTCACACACAGTAGTACTGCAGAAGAGTTCTGTTCATGGTGGGTTTTCCCCCTCAAGGTTGGTGGTACATGTATAATGAGGTTGGACAGAAATGTATATTAAGCCCATTAACTGACCACCGTGTAATAAAGCAGAACTTCCCTTGATTGCTTTCTGTTTCTAAAAGAGAACAATGCACACATCTTTCATAAATTTCTAAAGAAAAAATTAGTACACAACAAACGACGACTAATATTCTGTCTCAGCAATCTTTTAGTCTGTGTCAAGACCAAAAACAGTGACAGGTGACCTGCACTTTCACCCGTCTGGCCTGGGACTGACCAGGGTCAACTTATATGCAACAACAGTAGGAAAGAAATGACCAACAGTTGTAATTATCAAAGGACACCAGCCTAAACTTGGAGGCACCTTTTACTCTGCAATCCAGTACAGGGTGAAAAAAAGAAAAGAAAACCAAACTAATACCACTCTGCAGCAAGTTGAAACATGGACGTAGCTTCAAGCACTCTGCCTAAAGACCACATCGCATCTGAAGAGCATTTATTTATTGAATCTATCAAGGCTGAATGCCAAGAAAATAGCCGGTATTTGAACAATTAGGAGACCGACGGTTAAGGGAAAAACTCCACATTTCCAAGGCCACTGAAAAGCTATACTTCCGTATGACAATTGCACAATAGGAGGATAAAATCATCACATATGTATATCTACCAATGCATACCTTCACTGCCCCATGAGAAGTTTCCATGATCTTGTCTCAAAGCTCTGTACTTCTTGTTGCCTCCCATGGTACGGATGGTGTGAATTCTCTTCGCACCAAGCTGAAAAACATGAAATTATTTTTTTTTAAAGATTTAGTAAGTTTAATGACAATGGCAACACAAATTGTCGTATTTTATTACTACAAAATCTAAGAACGACAATAATATCACTAAATTGGTCACTTAATAGTTTTCAGCAACACCAGAAAAATGATATGACACAAGTCACATAAGACAGAAGCGTCCCTCCTCAAGAGTGGTGACGACCCGTGTGTTTATTTTACCATGGCACTCGGTCTTCACTGTGTTACAAAATATTTTACCCTTGCACAAAATCAGGAATAAAAAGAAGGCCGGCTCTGTTTCTACAAACGGTTTCCGTTCTCGAGATTTGTTGACAATAAGTTAGAGCGCTTCTAATAAATGTTTATTTGTCAAGAGGTCATCAGAAGCAATTAAAGATGGCTCGTTAGCGTGTGTCGGGGTCGGATGGGCGGCCTGCACACGTGTGTGGCTGTGTGTGCGTGTCAGGGAAGGCGGGCGTTATCGGTCCGGGCGTTCAACGCCGCATATGCGTCAGTCCCCCCCCCCCCGGATCATTATTACAATAGGCCACCTCTATTCTCACCCGGAGTGAGAATAGTGCAGGCGAGTCTTGTGGCTATTCTCACCCGGTGCGCGTTCACCCTAAACCACAGAATTCTACACTGTGATAACAGAAAAATTGTAGAATTCTGTGCCGTGAACAAACGTTCCATTACAACTGTAGCCTACTAAAAGCGTACAATTTTGTCTGTGGGCAGTGGAGAGAGAGAGAGAGAAAGAGAGGGGAGTAGCGCGAGAATTTCCAGGCAAAACAAAATGGCGACCCGCGTAGTTCGGCTCGATTCGAAAAGTTAAATAGCCGTAGCATCTTTGTACACAACCAAATTAATTTACTTTTGTGTTTTAACATCATTTTTAAACTTTGTTTTGGTCAATTTGATCGTCCACACCGATAGACAGTATTCAGAAAGAGACAGAGAGAGAGAGAAGAGGGGACGAGTTGATCTTGCGAGAACTTCCGGGCGGGTGAGAATAGCCACTTTCATTACAATAATAAGCTAGTCTTGACGTAGATCTATGTAATGAATTGTGCGCGGGTCTATGGAATCAAAAGTTGCCGTATGCTCGGCTCTACACAGCAACACAACTTTTTCTTGGTAATCGAGATGACACAGGCTTGTGTACTTGAATGAATCCGTCTTTTTTTTTTATTACACAGCTCATAAAATGCAGGTGCCAGGAGATCTGCTAATCTTCAATTTTACCTTTTTCTACAACAAAGAAAGTGGGAAACATGGGGGGTGGGGGCGCGTATCAATGAGGCGGCAGGCATCGGATTGGCAGACAAGGTGTGGGGGAAACTAAAAAATGGTGGAAAATTGGAAGCCCTGAACGTTAGATCTATAGAACGAAGACACTTCCTTTTTTCCGGACCCGTGTCCGAATAACACTTTTTCTTATTCAGACTCGAGTCCGAATAATGACGGCCTATTACAAAAACAAACACCCCTTTTTCTCTCTCCGTTCTCCCCCCCCTCTCTCAGTGTATTTATCGCCCTCCCCTGTCTCTCCCCACCCTTCCACCTTTCTTTCTTTTGCCCCCTCTTTCTACCCTCCTCTCTCTCGCTCTCTGCCTGTAGTCTAGATAAAATTGCACTTTCAACTTCAACTGAAGAGCGCTGGAACCTTTGTGTACACAGGCTGCCACACACTAAGACATTAGACAAGGCCACGCCCGGACGCGAGATAGATCCAGGGCAATTGAAACATCTTGGTCGGGGTGTTTATTTTTCTCGAAAACGCTAGGAAACACTCGAAAACACTAGGAATCACTTTTGTGCCTTTGGATGAAATCATCATTTTAGTATCAGATGGCAGCCTAGAAGAAAAGATTAGGCTATGCTAGAAGGGGATGTATAGTCTATACTGTCACTATAGTGTATACAGACTAGGCCAGGGCAAGATCGACGGCAAAAAGACTCGAGGCCTCGATTCCAAAACTGAAAAAGAGTCGAGGAATCGA